AATTGTCTCCCTCCTAACTCAGCCAGTATGAGTCTGGCAGTTGGGAAATTTTTATAGGATACTCGGCAAAGACAGGGGAACAAAACGTACCATTCAAATTTTTTTAATGAACACTTTCATTTTTTTTATCGATTGTACCAGAAAGTTACATTTCTCTCATTTAAATACGATTTTGAATCAATACACAGTGGGCAACTTTGACTAGGCACGTGGACATGTGTCATAAAAGTGACATGAAAGCCTCTAAATGGTATTTTCGTAGCTTTTCGTATGCGCTCTTTCCAATGGTGTGATTCACAAGCTCAGAGATATCTTTATCAGGATATTCTAGAGGTCCGGTCTCTGGAAAACCCGACTAAAAGTAAATCTTACCATTCGAAAGAGCGCATGCGAAAACCTATGAAAATATTTTTCGTTTTCAAACTGCTTCTAAATCAAAAATCCTAGTGCCTAGCCAACATTGCTACGGGAATGCTATGTCGTTTCATTAAATCGAACTATTTTTTTGCGCATAAAAACATACAATCAGCATATTATTCGACGCAGTTTCTAGCGCTGATTCCAAATATGTCGTTTTTATTGAATAACAACGTTTCTGAGCTGAGGAAAGCAGAAAATACTTGAAAAACCATGGGTATTTTGAAAAACCTACTGTACGGTTCAGGTGTGTTTATGCATTCACCAACGATGGAGGGCATGTAGAGGAACATTCTGTGAAAATTTGAACGAGTTTCGAGTTGGAATGTCAAGGAGAAGCTCGTTTTACTGAAACTATCAGTTTGGAAAAGCACTAACGAGGGAACGTTTTTAAGTGCTCCCTCGCTTTTTCAACGAAACCGGAGAATTTTTCCCATCGGGAGAAATTTTTCATTCTTACAAGTAGATTCTACACCTCTGGAATCATAGACTGGACTGAATTATCGACCTTATATTAGAGTAGTATTATAAATTATTAGAAGTAAATAAATTGCTAATAATTTGCAGTCTACAAGATATACGCGATGGCTGTGGAATATTAAAAATGATGAAATTAAATAATATCAGCAGATAATACGAGCTTTTCACGCAGACTTCATTAATCTACAACCATTGCACAGTAGACAATCACCTAGAGATTAGGTGAAAAATGAACGCGCAATTTTTCGAGATTCAAATAGTGTCAAATATACTTTGAATCGCGAGTTAGTGAGAAAACACTTAATAAAAATCGTCCACAATCTTAAACTAGACCTGTGACTCTATCGATTCATAAAAAAGGTATTTTTTTTTAATCGTTTCTGTTAGGAAAACAAGTTTTCTTTCTATACTTACGAGGGAACGTTCTTAAGTGACCCCTCGCTTTTTCAACGAAACCTAGTAGGTTAGTATCGATGATGCTGATTCAGAATATGAATATGAGCGCTGCTCTTAGGGCTTCGAAGACTCGGTTTTCTGGAAAACCAGTTTTTCAGAAACTCTGAAATATAACCAAAGGTTTTCTTAATGAGTCATGCTTGTAGCCCGCACATTTCTAATAAAAATGAGGCCTCTTCCCACTCTACATGATCTTTCTTTGCAAAGTCATAGAATTTACAAGAAAAGCCCTAAATTAATTTCTAAAGAAAATGTAACTTGCTCTTCTTAGTATTTTTTTATTTCTTCACTATTTTCGGTGTTGCATTAGCATAAGCTAGCTTTTCTTTGCAACAACCATGCTTGCAAAAATAATAATTCAGTTCACAATATTTTTTATTATTTTTCAGCAAAAACTCTATTTTTCAAAGCTTTTCGGGAAAATATTTGCAAATCGAAAAATTTTCCTTCAATAGCAGTCGAAGCAAACGGATGTATTCAACATCTCTCTTCGATTAATTCAAGAAATGATAGAGACAAAATCGTTTTTGTCCTCGAGTAGTCAAAATCAATCACTAAAAATATTCTGTTTAACGATTCAGGCCCACAACAAGGAATTAAATCTTTCTGTTAATACATGGTGAGCTAAAACAATGCGTTTTATAGTAACACGTACACAGAAAAAACGTCTTGAACGCTTACTAGCATGATTGGTTATAGTAGGTACCAAAATTATGCATATATATAAATAATATTAAAAAAAAAATTATCAAGAAATTCCAAATACCTTTAATTCTCGAAAAAAACCCATTGAATTCTTGGTCAATTAGAAACATCCAATCATCTAAGGAATAGTTTTATTTCCACTGTACAGAATACTGAAATCTTTAAAATAGAAAGACTAGACTATCAGGTACATTTTAAGCTATAAAGAGATTCGAACATAAAGCTTCAATTGATTTTTAACTTTTGAAATTCAAAAATATTATTTAGTGAATTCTGTGAGATATCGAATGTTTTTCAAAGATATAAGTCGTCGTCGTAATTCGCATTTTAGTTTAATGCCAGGTGTTTGTAAGAAATCCATAAATACAGAAAATGTTTATGATCTATCCATAAATGAATGTTTTCTCTGATCAATTGAAATTTTATCATCTTTGGAAAGAAAATATTTAAAACAAAACATTTCAAATGTCTCAGAAGTTTAATTTAATTTTGTTTTATTATATATCTTTTGTATGAAAATATATTTAGATTGTGATCGTACAAAAAATAAATAAATGTATTACAAAAATGAGTCTGTCGATTAGATGTACAGTTATATTAAAACAGAATAAAGAACAATAACAACAAACATAAAAATAGACACTTTCTCGGTTGAGAAACACTAAAATATAAATTAAATGCTAAAAATGTTTCGTTTATTTTGTGATTGCACATTATTATAAAAAATTGGAAGAACTATTGCAACAAATAGTTTTGATAAATTGATTATTAAGCTTTTGATTCAATAGTACGATGGGGTCCGCTTGCAGTACCCGGTTTTGAATTCGAGTCCACTTGTTTACCCAAGTAATCCCTAAACAAAAACATTGGAAGAATAATTTATCTTTTCCACATAAACTTTCATCAAACAAAGAAAGCAAATTAAATAAAATGTTAATAGAGAGAAGAATGTATCAAAACAGTGCAATGATGATTGTAAATAAACGAAGAAAAAAAAAAGAAGCAAGTGTCGTATCAAACACATTTTCTAACTTATTTTGTTTTTTTATATATTTTTCATGAAAAGATCAGTCATTTGCCTATATGAAGAATGAAATGATAACTGTAATCGATCAACAGATCTATCACTGCTTTTAGTGCTTAAGTTCAACTTACCAGTTATGAACCATTAATTTTTGAACACAAAGTAAACCTTGATATCGTACATTAGAATCGGGATGTTCTAAAAGTCTCATAATAATCACTTTTCCATCTAATTTATCAATGGTTCTAAATTAAATTGAAAACAAAACATAATTCAGAGCACACTATCGTCTAGAAAGATGACTAATACTTTTTGCCAAGTGGATGATGTCGTACATATTCTCCAATATCATGTGCAGCAACGCATAATACCAGTGGCTCTTTACTTTGTTCGAGCAATTTCAATAACATTCTATAAACGAATAGAAAAAGAAATTTTAATAAAATAAAAAATTAATCGTGCAATTTATTCACATACCGTAATAATTCAAAATTTCCATCATTCAATCTTGCCACATTTTCTCTCCAAAACTTTTCGGATTTATGAACGGGCGACCAAGAAAGTCGACCAGAACGAACTTCAATAGCATATTCATCAAAAGAACTAAAAAAAATGAAAAATTTAATTTTGAAAATCTTTCATGTCAACATATTCATTAGAATCTTGAATACAATCTTCTGTGACAAAAAATAAAATACACATTACCTAACATCAGACAAATTTCCTTCTATCTTTTCTTTAATAAACTCAATATCTTCTTTAATTTCAGCATCATCAAATGGTTTATTACTAAGTAATTCTAATGGTTTAACTAGACGACTGCCTATCATTGTCATAGCATTTTCACGTATTACTTTTTCATCTTCGGGCTTTTCAAGTAAATTCTATTATAAATAGATACATTTTAAATTGATTTAATACTACGTAAGAATGTTAAAACTTACACGAAGAAATGCAACAATCATTCGCGTTACTTTTTCTTTTTCTGTTTCGGTCAAAATTTCTGTTAAACGTGGTATCACATTGTATCTAAGTTAACACACAACACATATCATATCTCTTGCTGATTGAATTATTGAAAAAGACTAACTTTGCCATAACTGAAGCAATATTTGGAGCGAAAGTAAGTACCCATAAACAAAATATTAATTGATATTGTACTTGAAATCCAACACTTGCGTTATTTAATACTTGCATAATACTGAAAACAAAAATATCAAGAAAATAGTTAAAATAAACATATTATTTTTATTAGCTATTAATTTGTATTCTACTTTGTTATTCCATCAATTGAAACAAATGATTCTCGATATTGTTCGATACGTAACATCATTTGTAAACTACGACAAATACTTGGAAGATAATCATTGCCCTGAAACAATATATAAACGATATTCTTTATGTTATCTTAAAGTTTATTAAACGTTAACAAACCTGCGGTTTTAGTTGTTCTTTTAACCATGCCAAATAATATCCAAGATCAGACGTAGGCATACGGTCCTGACTCCAGCACGCTAATTTGGCAATGATGCGACTTGTCTAAAATAAAAAGACAAATACAAATAAAATAGAAAGAGACAAGAATGCATAAACAAAACCTGCTGTACAACGAATTGATCACGATTTGTCAACATATTAAAAAAATATGGCCATAATTGTTCTTTTTCCATTTTTGCATATGAATTAAATATTTCCACACGACTTTTGTCTTCCTATTAAAACATAAAACGCATCTTACAACTAAACCATATTGAAATATGACTGAGATCGTGAATTAGTTATTCATGTAACTACATACTCTTAAACATTCATCCATGAGAGTCAATATGTATCGTAATGTTTGTTGTTTGAATAATTTTGACATTAAAGTTAAAAATGTTTTTGCACACTAAAAAAAGAGAGAAGACAGACAGTTAAACTAAGAATATATATTTAAAAAAATATGTTTACTTGATATCTCATGTTTGGTTCTTGTAGTAATTTTGCTCGTTGTTCACTATTTAATTGATCATATTGTGAAATGAACTCAAAATCTTCTTTGCCAATCATTTGACCTCTTAAGAGAATAAAAAACTTGGATTGTGAAAGAATAAAACTAAGAAGTTGTTGTCTTCTACTTACTGATAATATGTCTGCCATGTTGGTTTCGTTTTCATTACTTCTTGTGCTTGCTGCTGTAAATTGCTAATGGTACCAGTCACTAAACAAAAGTAAATTTGATAGTTTTCAATTAGTTGATCTGTATAGAACTTACTTGATTCTAAATCATCTGGTGAATTATGGACATTTCTAAAACGTGTTATATCTTCGGCGATGCGTAATGTTGATGTTGGTTGAGATACCGTAGATGTTGCCATTTGAAAATAAAAACAACAAAAAGAATACGGTTTGCACTAATAATACTGAGAAAAAATTCAATCTAAAATAATACAAATTCAAATTAACTATAAAACTTTTTTCACTTATTATGTTTCATAACAAAAAGTATTTAGACACTTAGAGATATAAAAAATACTGATACGATCAGTAATCATTGGGAAAATTTTAAACTCGATTCGAAAAGATTACAGTGCAGATAATGGATAAATAGATGATCCAATTCATAGTTATGCGCAATAAAATGGTACTAAGTCATAGTAAAATATTTAAGCAATTTGTAATATTCATAAGAATTAAAACTAAACAGATCTTAGCTAGAATGATTTTATTTAACTGTCCTACGAAATAAAAAATACATCGATCAATTAGAAACTGGTTAAAAGTAGACCGGATAAACTCATAATAAATAAATAAATATTAAAAAAAAACAATGAAAACAAGGGCATTTTGATATGGTTTAGGAGTTTCTAGTATGAGCTCTAAGTTTTCTAGATGAGATAAAGATAACTGAGTGTTTTTATTTACTGCGTTGACTTAATGCAGAAACACCGGGAAGCTCTTTGCCTTCTAAAAGTTCCAAACTTGCACCTCCACCAGTTGAGATATGACTAACTTTGCCTTCGGCTCCATATTTTAATGCAGCGGTTGCAGTATCACCACCGCCAATGATTGATGTTACTGATGAATCTTTTGTTCGTTCAACAACCACTTCCATTAAACTTTTTGTCCCATTTTCAAACGGTTTTTTTTCAAATACACCCATTGGACCTTGAAAAAGAAAAAACAAAACAGTGCAAGTTTTGATTGCACAATAAAATTTATTTCTACTAACCATTCCATACAATTGTTCGAGCTCTTTTAACAACATCCGAGAATTCTTTGATCGTGTTTTTACCGATATCTAAACCCATCTGATCTTTATCAATGCCATGATCGATAGTTGTTTCTTTTGTTTGTGCATCATCCTTCATCTCAGTAGCCGTAACAAAATCACTTGGCAAATGAATTTGAACGTTTTTACTCTTAGCTTTATCCATGATTTTTTCAATTTCTTTTGAACCATCTTCATCAAACAACGACTTGCCAATTTCCATATTTTTCAATACTTTTAAGAATGTATATGCCATTCCTAAATACGAAGACAAATAATTGTATAGATCTACTTTAAAGAAAAATCTTTGATTTACCTCCGCCAATGATCATTTCGTTCACTTTATCCAATAGATTTTCAATTAATTTTATTTTGTCTGCAACTTTTGCACCTCCTAAAATGAAACAGAGTACGTGACTCCTCTAATAAAAAGAATGAAAAATAAAACATTAAACCATACCTAATATGGCTAAAAATGGTCGATCTGGGTTTTCGATCACCTTTCCAAAATAATCTAATTCTTTCTTCATCAAATATCCAGCAGCCCGTTTATCTAACGTACAACCAACGACAGAACTATGTGCTCGATGTGCCTTAAACATAAAGAATTATGGTGAACAATATAAAAAGTTTGAACATCTACTTACAGCACCAAACGCGTCATTGATATCTTGAAAAATAGATAAAATAAAATAAGACACTTGTATAAAAAAAAAGCAAAGCAATCTCTAATACTTACAAACATCGCCTAACTTTGATAAACTTTGACGAAATTTTTCGATATCTTCTTTTTTTGCTTCTGTTTTCTTTCCATCTTTATCTTTTACTTTGCCTTCTTCTTCGAGATGAAAACGAACATTTTCTAATAGTATCACTTGACCATCAGTTGCTTTTGAACATTCTTGTTCCACTTCATCACCGACACATTCATTTAGAAATTTGACATCTTTATTCAATAATCGCTTCAATTCTTCAGCAACGGGTTTTAAACTATATTTATCAACTTTCTTCCCATCAGGACGACCCAAATGCGACATTAATATAACAGATTTCGCTCCTTTTTCAATAGCATATTTGATTGTTGGTAATGCGCCTTCGATTCGTTGTTTATCTTTAACTTGACCATTCTCAATCGGTACATTGAAATCAACGCGCATAAGTACACGTTTACCATTTAAATCAACATCTTCAATGCCCATTTTATCGGATATAGTTGAAGTCATTATTATTGCTTTCTGAGACAAAGGAATGAAGTATCTATAAATAAAACGTCATATTACAATCGTCAAGTAACGCCTAATCCTCGACTGGATCATAAGTACTGACAAGCTCTTTTTTGCCTTTTATCGATTATCCATCTAACAACATAACTAAATATTTTCAATTATTGATTCTGCGTGACAAAAAATAACAGAAAATACTAGAATAAACACAAAGAAAGCGAAATCTTTCGAATATCAAATTTCTGTGAACACTTTCAAAACGATTTTGCAAACTTTAACGTGCCTTTCGGATTATTATCCAAACAAATATCTTCTGTTTTCGTAGCCTGAACAGTTTTAAACGGTAATATTAAGTGAAAATCGCCCAATTGTATTAAGAATGTAGTATAGAATCTTAATTAGATTAGTATTCCAGAAGTAAATCGAAGAATGAAACGGTATAGGCACACAAGTGATCTTTCGATTCTTCTAAGTTATGAGCATATATGTATAAGTTATATATAATTTATCTCAGAAATAATGTCAAACTTGATTTTTATAAGTTTTTCAGCTTTCAGAAATAAAAACTTTGTCATCTACAATCAGATCTGGAGAGCTATAATAGAATAAATAATAAGATCTATCCCTGTCTCGCTGAATTGTGCGTTTTTCTACCAGACAAATTGTGTAGCATAACATGCTTTTGAGAACAACTGCGAAATGTAAGTTCAGAGACGTAAGTGGAAATGTCATTGTAAACAAACGATGTATTTACTGAACAAAAATAGATGTTCACAATGAGATGAGCTAAGGAAAAAAAACGGTCGTTAGATGGCATCAACGAACCATATAGAACATTTTAGGCACAGGGACGATTTTTAAAAAAATTTAATTTAATTACATCCGTGTTCACATATAAAATCCATGAATCGAAATAGCACTTTATATCGAAAACATTTTATGATCGAAATAACACTTTATTATGTACAACACGCATAGAGAGAAGTTTCATATGTGCACACACACACTATACAGAACATTATTTACCTAATGATGAGTCACATACCATAACAGTCATCATATATTGAGAATTGTTTGAATTATCGTTTGTGCGCCTATGACTCAGATCATAAATAGACTGGTAAGTTTCCGGTATATCTCCCGAACCATAGCTCGGATAAAGTTTCGTACGCCGAAAGGGCACTTCTACACAGCATAACCAACATGAGCTGCAAAGGAATCACATTGATCGGATAAAGTGTTGATAGAGAGCTGCGCGTTATAAAGTGTAAGCGTTGTGCGTTTTTCCACGATCATTTTACTAAAACCTTAACCTGGAGCTGCGAGACAGGGTAAAAAAACGTGACTAAAAACGTGAAAACACAATGACTTACCACGATGATAAAAATAGTGTCATTGCTTTTAAACAAGAACTGATAAAAACTCATGAATGCAGAAAAACATAATCAAAGAGGGAAAAGTGTTGGATATCAATTCGCCGTAGTAACAAACAATGTTCTTCAGAGGAATGAAACTCATTTGAAAGTAGAGTACACGCGTTTCCACTTACGGACTACATCCTCATCATTATCCGTTTTATTCAAGACGAAGCAAAACTCATTGGGAAGTTGATTATACCATACTTTTGACGACACGATGTCCTTTTTCTGATTATCTTCTTAAAAAAGATCAGAAGCACCAATAATAAACCAAAACAACTGAAAAATAGCTTGACTTAAAAAGTAACCAAACAATGTGTAAAACAAAAGCAAGAACCAGGAAAACAAAAAGACAAAATACAAACTATTAACTGAACAGTAAATTTTTTGAATAATCAGGTAATCATTTTTTCAGTTATTGTATCGTTGAGACCTATCTGATATAAATGAAACATTAAAATCCCATCACTACACAGACAGTTTTCAGTAAAATACTTTATATTTTCTAAATGTTCCTAGAGCACAGAACATAAACAGTTTGTAGAGCTCAAAAGTTATAAAAACTCTTTGGTAAAAAAATAGCTATTGTGTAACAATAACTTACGCCTGTATTCCATGTCATGAAACGGGAGCGTTCTGCGTTTTATATGCAGCTACGTTGCTGGTAGCAAAAATGCTATCAAATGTCTAACAGAGCATAACCAGTGACTGTCTTTCGGATCTGCCCCAGGGCTTATCGTAAGATCTCTAGTAAATAGCAGAATGATAATCTCTGCGGCTTCACTGCTATGAAAGTCGACTTATGCCGAGTTTGGGTTAGCACGTTCTATAAGCGTCGTTATTTATCTTTGTTTAAGTACTAAAAAAACATTTTTTCAGTTTCTGCTTGCTACTTATCGTCAAATTTACTTTAAATCTAAACTTAAAGTGCTGTTTGAAAATATTTCGGCCTGTATTCGCTACTTGGATGAGTAAACTTTGTTTCTAGCTCAACCGTAAACTTTAGTAGTTTGTTTTATGATTACTTTATTAACTGCCTGAAGGAGAAGGATGTTGATGTGGTATTCATTGGCTTTTTTTTGGTATTCGATGAATTATTATATCTCAGGTGGACGAGTAATAGACATAATTGGATTGGCCGTTACTCAAGCTTAACCAATAATAAAAAATTCGCGATATCAACGTTACTCAAACGTTGAACTCAGAGAATTAACTAAAAAGCTATTAAACGAGAAAAAATAACAACAAAACAATAGTTGTCGTACATTAACTGCTTATGCACTGTAGATATTTGAATGCATATGATACAGGCCTTGTCGTCATAGAATCAGAATTAGAAATGACAAACGCGACAGTTGTGAATTAATGAAGAAAGAGAAAGAAGTGTATATGATATCTCGAGGAAAATTGAGAAGGAATAGATTCTGTTCACAGTAATTAGTTGTGATAATAACTAAGCAGAAGAGGATGACCTATACTCAAGCAGTTTAAACCTCGTGATTTACATAATTTCAATCCATCTATACTAAACGTTTCTTAGCATTTCTTGTGGAACTGATTTTAATCTAGATCTTGGAAACATCACTAGATCTTTGAAAAATACTATGAAGTTAAGATCTCACCACTAGATATACACTTTCTCTCAAACAACTATTTTCAAGAGATAAGATTATTTGTAGTTATTCTATTAGAATAACTTCACTCTTAAAGGATGAAAATATTTGCATGTGTACGCAAGTAAGAATGTAGTACGTAGCGATGACTCGAGAATTATCAAGATCTGCGGCACGAAACTCAGTGGTTCAAATCTTTAATTTCTTGACTGAGGCGTTTTAATATCGCTATCTTACCAAAAGATTTCGAAAAATCAATATCTTAGCCATAAGAAGCTGGATTAAGTATACCTTTTAGTCCACCACTTTAACACATAATCATTAGGAAATATTCACTTTTGAAAATAAGTAGTTTATTTAGTATTTTGCTTTTTAACCCATTATAGAGGTCGGTAATTTAAACTTTCAACTAAATTTATTAATTTTGTATCTTGTAGACACAAACTTGAGTTTTCCTTGATTTTGGCTCTCATAGACGTATGATAACAGACAACCGTGTTGGCTTTATACTTGAAAATAATATGGATCACAGCGGATTTTTTTATTTGTTAGTTTTTTACATTTTTTTGATTAAGAAAAACAGTTTTTTTTATCTTTATTGAAGATACAATATTCCTTATTGACATCGCGCAAAAGAACAGATGACTGTATTAGAAGAACATATCTCGAAGTCAGCATTTCTTGCTCGTAGTCCTAGGTAATTATGTGTAGAATTATATTTATAATTGTACATATACTACAATATAATTATATGTAGAATTTATATTGATTGATCACATACTACATTATTTAGATTTCAGAATACTGGCGTTCATCCTGGATTACTGACACGTCTACAACTGCAGAGTGTATGTTATAAACCCTTCATTTAGTGTCAATGTACTTTTATGTTTCCCTTTTAGAGTCCATCCGTTGGTCCTGGAACATACGATCTAATACAATATGGTGATTTTAGTGAGACAAATGTTCAAAAAAATAGTGAAGGACCAAACTGGGAACAGGCTTTGTATACGGAAAAAATGTCAAAAATACCACATACCAATTTTAAGGCAAAATATGAAGTTCAAAAAGAAGAAGAACGTCGTATTGGTCCAGGTGCATATGAAATCAAAGATTTTTTAATCGAAGCAGATCAAAAGCCCCAATGTTCACGTGGATTATTAGATCAACTAACGGAAAGATTTCCAAAAGATATAGCCGACAAAGCTCCTCCTCCTGGAGCATATGGCATTCCTGATCAGAAAATTGTTGAAAAACGATGGCAACAAGGAAGTAACATTCCTTCCTTTCAATGGCGTCAAGGTGATCGAACACTGCCACTAGAGGTAGACTTCTATATATCCAACTTTCGGAATCTGAAGACAATGTTTTTCTACTATTTATCTTAGGGTGCTGACATCGGACCGGGTACTTACAATCTTAAAAGTTCAGTTGATGACTTACTCAATAAACGTGTCAGCGAAAAGGGACCATATCAACTTTTTTCTGTTAGTCGATCAGCTCCAATAAACACAGGACATTATGCTGTTCTTGTAAGTTGTCCACTTTCTAGTTTGAAAATTGACATTATTTTAAGTCTTTTTATAAATAGGATACTTGGGATTTACGTGAAGATTTTCCATCAAAAAATTATCCAGAATCAACTTCTTCTTTAAAACAACTCCAACATTATAGTCAAGCTAAACATGGTTTATTTAGCAAATTATCAAGATTTCAGAAAAAACCCACGGATCGTTTGGCCATTGAACATCCTGGACTTGAGCCGAAAAACGTCGATTTTCCCGGTCCAGGAGCATGTAAGTCAATCATAATATTTGAAGTTTGATTATAATGTATCGTTACAATCAACATTTAGTAACTAAATTTTGTTCATTTTCACCAACATGTGTAATTTGTGAACGTTTTAGACAATGTACCAGCTCATTGGGAGAGAAAAGATTTACACAAGAAGAAAATACCATTTAATTCAAGCTCAGGACGATCAGATAGAAGATCAATTGCTTTCTTTAGTGGATCTTATGTATGTATACGTTTATTTAATTTTAACTTGAAAACATTACTCAAATATTAACAATTTTTAGAATTCTGTTGGTGTTGGCAGATATAATTTGGTGAATCCCGTGCGTGATGAAACAATAGCAGATAAAAGAAAACGTCCTAAACGACGAAATATTGGTTTTAGTTCTACGACTACGCGTTTTTCCAGTGCAGATGGCGAGCAGATACTCAAGTAAATAAACAAGAGTTATCTTATGTGTTTGACAATAACATTATTCTTTTTTTTAGCGAACGTCTAAAACCTCAAAATCTTCGATCGGAACAACGTACTCAATTATATCTCAGTGGTCATATTTCAGAATAATACAAGATATTTAAATGTTCTTTCTGTTCTTCCATAGCGTAGTACCGCCAAAGAAATAATTTGGTAATTGATATAATTCTCAGGTGTTTTAGTTTGAAAAGTCGAGAAGTGCTGTTTTTGCCATTTGTTGAACTATTTGAATATGTCCAATATTTTTTGAAGCTAATTTAGCATACATTGAAAATAGCAATTTTTTATTGTATTTTGTATATAGTCGTGTTATATTTATTTTTCTAATTATATTTTTCACAAATAAACTTTATAATTTATAGAAAATGTTTTTACAATTTTGAATTTATATAAAAGAGAAGCTCTTGTGTAAAATATAAAAAAATCTGTTGATACTTTTTTTCTGTTCAAAATTCAGAGGAACAGATGTTTAAAAACACTTATAATTCACAATCCGAAACTGAGATAAATGAACAACAATTCTCAGATGAATCAACAGCAGCAAGTTTTCCTGTCCAACATCAAACTACAACTTGTCGAACAAATGATTTATTGTGAATATACCTTAGATTGAATGATTTTAACAGAAAATCTAAACAATTTTTTGATTTAGTAATTTTCAAGGATTAAAACGTCGAGTTATTCTCGCACCAGAAACAAACTGGACAAGTACTAAACAATATTGGTGTACACGATCAAATGATGCAAGTAAAAATGGCATAAAGTTAGTATCAGAAAAACATTTGTATTTTGGCTTGTTAAGGACAAAACAACTTCATCAATAAAAGATATTGATGAAGATCTCGATTTAGATGGTTCTAAATTTGATGAAAAAATTCGTCTCTATGTCGGTTATCCAGACTGGTTGATTCAACGAAAAAATTTGCGTAATGAACTCAATAGACTTGGAAATTTCGTTGAATTTTATGAAAAGAAGCCGATCTTAACCGATTTAGAGAAAAGAGTGTTAAAACGTGCATCAAAACGTGACAAATCGATACAAACGGATGTTATGGTTGTACTTTTACTCACAATATTCTTGATCATATGTTTATAATTATCTCTTATAGCCGGAACACAATCGAAAGTATAAACACACTGTTCTACCCAAAATTCGTTTACCCCCGCCGATGGGTATGGAACGAATTGAAGAATTTCTAGAGACAAATCGTTGGCGTTTAGTCGATCTGTTTCGTAAAATGGATCGTGATAAAGACTGGAATATACTTAAACAAGATTTTATGCATATGGCTGAGCAAGTTAGTTATTCATTATTGATTTTTCAATATACGAATAACTGTTTCAAATATTTTTATTACAGCAACAACTTTTTATTAGCGAAGAAAATGCTGAAGAACTTATGTGTGTTTTTTGTAAAGATGCTAAAGTACCGATGAATTATAAGAAATTTGCTCGTGGAAGACTACAATATAAACGAGAAGAACGAGCTCGACTTCGAGGTAAAATTAAAACAGCAATGGTAGTTCATATTATGGAAAGTTGTGAAGAAAACCTGTTCTTTTGTAGAAAGTCTAAATAAAACTCCGAGTTCAATTGATACACAGTTGTCATCTGATCCATCATCTTCTCCATCTGCCACGTCACAAAACAGTCGATATTTACAAATACCACCAACAAGTATGGCCTATCCACCCAGCCCTAAAGAGGAAACGAATAATAAACGAAATCAGTCATCATCATCGTCAATCAAATCATCAGCCAAAGACAGGGTAAATTTTTTAACGATCATATTGTCACTGTGAGGCAAGTAATTATATTTTTTAGCATGGAAGACGCACAGAATCGTCAGCTGGAACAAAATCAACTACATCTGTTAATTCAAATGTCTAAATTTGTTTAACTATAATTTTTACGTGTTTATTAAAATTACTTTTTATTGTTAATGAATGTTTCAGAGCCTGCATTTCCGTCCGACAAAGCCTGTTTCATTTTTTTGGGAGAAGTAATGAGATAAAGATAGTATGTGTAACTCAGCTGCTCTTTAAGTGTTCAACTCGAAAAATAGCCGGTTTTGTGCAGGATTTTATCTCTTTTAAGCCTGGTACGTCAAAAAAACTTTAGAGAAGAGCTTTAAGGCAAAAAAATGTAAAATATAATAGATGTCACCCAGAGATGATGATTGGAGCAGTTAGAAATCAATTAAAATGAGCAGAAGAAGAAATAGTCTATTTTTTCGTTTAATAATTGTTTCTGATGTAGTTTTTCACGCTTTTTCTAACGGTATATTTATAATTGAGTTGAATGGGTAATTATTGATTGCGAGGCTTTTGCAATTTATTTAATGCAAAATGATGCTGTCGATCAAAAATGTCTAAGAATCACGAAAGGAAGCACTTTTTTTTCCTTGGCCGTTAAATTATTAGAAATCTGAGACATTGCTCCTTCGAATGGTATATTTGAAAGATCCGTCGCTACTTGAGAAATGTCAAAAACCATAGAGAAAAGAAAGTGTTCGAATACTATTTTCGTTCCAAAAGTTGACTGAGTGTAAAAGAAGACTTATTATAGATCCATTTAAGATCATTAAAATTTTTTCAGATAGACAGAAATGTAAAGCAGACTTCGCTTTATCTAACGGTAAAAAAATTATTTTCTTATCTCTTTTATTTTAAGAGATAATAAGCTCACAAGAAAAGCTTCTTACAGTGTCCGAATACTTCTTACACATACCATACGTTTTGAATTAATAGGCGTGCAATTTCGTGACACACTTTTCTGAGAGTTTCCAATTTTGAACGTAAATCCGTTCACCGTTTAATCGCCAAAATTCATCATTTTGGATTTTATTAAAAAAATATGTAAAAGCTTTGAAAAAAACAGATAGGTACAAAAATAAATTAATGAGTGAGATATATCTGCACAAGACTCAGCAACTCTGCCATTAGAGCTGGAGCTTACTAGTAGAAATCAGAGTTAACTATGAGAAAGTGACGTTAGGGTTTCCCAGGTTTATATGTGTAATAGAAACGGAAATTAGATCACATCGAAAGAAACAAGTTATTTCATCATACACGTATATGCATGACTTCACCAGATATCCCTTGTTGTCTTATACTTATACATTTTCTTCTATATCGCTGTTAATATTAATCGGCTTATATTCAGAAACATCTTCATTGATAAGATGTAGTTTTTCTTTTTCAATTAAATCATAGGGACCAACAACAGAGAATACTGGATAAAGTGTATAAATACACAGATAAACTCCAATCAGGACGCATGCATTGCCTAAAAGATTATGACATACAAATTACAAGAAGAAAGGTTTTCTCATTCAGACTTACCAGCTAAATGATAGGCGAATGACATTGTAAGAAGAGAGATACTTCGATGATCGTTCATATCCCATACAAATAACGGATGAGTTGTTTGTGGCCAAATAACAAATGCTATTTGTAGAAACCACGTACCTTGGGTCAGAGCGAAAAAGGATCGACCAACAATGAACCAAAAATTATTTGGATCATAGGATTCTCCCAGCGCTCCTATCATACTACAAACAATGATTAATGCCAACAGTTTATGAACATGAGCATCGACCATCGAACGAGCGTGCAAATGAAATACCATCATTAAAGCTTCTATCGCGAATGCGAGGAATCCCATAACTTGTGGAATGTTTTTTGGTAAAGCCACACCTTTATGAACTAATATTTCGACCCAAGCTCCTATCCAAAAGCCGAATAACATTGCTGTATGATGTGCATTTTCATCACCAATGTGAGGTCTAGGATCTGCACCATAGCCGGTGTAAAGTTCAATTGAAAAATGAATTGATGTAATTAACAGTTTCATAATGCTTTCAATAGGCAAATTACGTAGACCATGGGAAGGTAAACAAGAACACGGATAAGTTGTTGATCCTTGAAATGTATAACCATTTAATTTTATTGATCGAAGGTAGCGTAGTGAATTATGTATATGCCACCATAATGCAAAAAAGACAAAAAAGACTCCTACAACAAACAGGCATAATAATATAAATTGAGCATTTGAGAAAGGTGGTTCAATTACCTGGTGCTATATGTCCTATCCAAGTTCCCATTTTTAGTCTAAGATCGATGCAGTAATTTGCAATGTATAAACAACAGTCTTTGATATTATTAAGCTAAAACCATTGACTGATTAGTAACAACTAATCAATGAGAGAAACTTGCAATGAAAGGAATTAAGGATAATAACAGATAAACTTTAACGGTAATTGACGCTTGAAACCGAACAATAATGAGCAAAATGCAAAATATAAGCGTTTTTTCTCTTTTCGACGTGCACTGATATTCTATATTGACAGACGTGTATAGTATATCAAAGACTCTGGTTTCCACTTTCTCTATAACACTTGATTTAATATCTAGTTCTTCAATTTCTTCCACCTGGATCCGTTTATTTACCTAACTTCACATTCTGTCGATAGTTTTTGTTTTTCTATTGAGTTTGAGCAAAATTTTCTATTACACTGGGTGCATACATTTATTGTCACAAGTGTATTCGTGCAAACTCAGTGGGAAAGCTTACTAGAGACTAAAAGGGCATTTTTATGACGGCATACCCTTTTTGGAATCTCTGAATGATAAATACAGATACCCACTATATTTTGGTTCTGTGAAATTAGAAACACCTCTCAATGGGATTCTACAAAGCCAAAAAGGTACGCTAAAATACCAAAATAGTATTGTAAAATACGGTTATGGATATTTTTAATTTCACAGAACCAAAAAAAGCGGATATCTTCATTTATCACTCAGAGATTCCAAAAGGGTATTCCGTCATAAAAATATCCTTTTCTGGTTCTGTAGGACACGAAATTTTTTTAGAGAGCACTGTATGCGCTGCACATCGTATCTACTCATCAATTCGATTGAGAAATTTAAAAGCTCAGTCGACCAGAACCGATTGCAGATTCAGATTCTTTATAGTAGATTGCCATGTAAGCAAAACAACTTTTAGGTCGCGGTACTAACATATGGTGCAAAAATAATTTTTTGTTCAATATTTGATTGAAAGCCATTAGTTTTTATATTGCTCTTACTTTTCATTACAGACACTGGATTTTGCCAGGAAACAGATTTTTCCAGACAATTTTTCGTCATACTAAAACAAATGCTGTTAATTTTAAAATGCAGTAATCGGATACAGTTTTTTTAAGCGCTACACTTCTCTCTATTTGGTTTTTGAAAGACGTTATACTTTGAATCTTCAGTGAAAAAATTAAATATTTTTCACGTTGCAAAACAGTTGTTGAGATGTTCTTGTTTTTCAAATGTTTTTTGTCTAAAATTTCCTTACCAGAAATTTCGATTTATATGTTTTTGTAATTCAGATTTTTAAAAAAAACATAAGTCTCTAGCACTCTAGAAACACAGAGAAATATCGCTTGGCTTTTTGTACAAATACTTTTGTATGGTATGTTATAGAAAAAAAAACTTTTCTAGCGTTTTGCATTTAGCCGTCCCCCAGAATTTCATCAGAAAAAGACAGCGAAAATGTTTTTCAATAGTTTCCGATTCAAAAGTTGTCATATACCATGGTAATCGACTATGAAGAATTCGGATCTGGACAAACAAGCTTAAAAATTTCTCGATTGAATTCATATTCATCGTTAAATACGATATGAAAATCAATTATCTTGCCGGAAAAAACGGTAATCTTCGAAAATATACTCATCTTTTCTGACAAATTCTGCTATTATTAATGGCCATGTTGAAGAAATAACCTCAGATTGTTCATCGATTGATAGCTAAAGATATGAACCATTTTTGTTCTAATCTGTACCGTAAAGAGTGAAGGAGAACGACTGGCTGCTAAGTCTCCTTTCGTTTAGTCGACTAAAGCGTATTATCAATTATCGACACTCTTCGTTTCACGTCTTAACTAGTACATCTTAAACTAGTGATATTCCCGTTCCATTCTTGCTAAGATCTGATCGCGAACCCGATTTTTTTCCGTGTAACGAAAAAATGCTGATCTTGGCAAAATAAAATCGCGATCTTATAATTTGAATCGCGTTCTTGATCAGGTTCGTTATACGATCCCGTTTCATTTGTGTTTCAAGACAGTGACAGGATCGCGGCAGGATTATCGCAAGATCGTGTCTAATTCGAGACAAGATCTTGAGGAGATTTTTCCTTAGCCCACCGTTGAAGAAATTTTTTTATTATTATATCATTCTGTTCCTTAAACTATCAAAGTACAAAATCAATCCTTGCACGAAACTAGGATCACACTGACTTCGTATTTTCCTTTATCTCAGTCTGTAACGATGTAATATTTTTTT